ACGGACCCTCCTCTTCAGGACCCCTGAATAGACTTTACCAGGGAGGCTTAAGAGTGTGACCCCCCTGTAATTGGAGYACACCCTCCGGTCCCCCTTTTTAAACAGGGGGACTATCACCCCAGTCTGCCAATCCAGGGGTACTGCCCCCGATGTCCATACGATATTGCAGAGTCGCGTGAGCCAACATAACCCTACAACATCCAGAGCCTTRAGGAACTCCGGGCGGATCTCATCCACCCCCGAGGCCCTGCCACCGAGGAGATTTTTGACCACCTCAGCAACCTCGTCCCCAGAGATTGGCGAACCCAAACCAAAGTCCCCAGGCTCAGCTTCCTCAACAGAAGGCATGTTGGTGGGATTGAGGAGGTCTTCGAAGTATTCTGCCCACCGGCACACAACGTCACGAGTTGAGGTCAGCAGCACACCATCCCCACTATAAACAGTGTTGGTGCTGCACTGCTTCCCCCTGCTGAGACGTCGGATGGTGGACCAGAATCGCCTCGAAGCCATGCAGAAGTCTTTCTCCATGGCCTCTCCAAACTCCTCCCATGCCCGGGTTTTTGCCTCAGCGACCACCCGAGCTGCATGCCGCTTCGCCCGCCAGTACCCATCAGCTACTTCTGGAGTCCCATAAGCCAAAAAGGCCTGATAGGACTCCTTCAGCTTGACAGCATCCCTCACCGAAGGTGTCCACCTATGGGTTCGAGGGTTGTCGTCGCGACGGCACCAACAACCTTGCGGCCGCAGCTCCGATAAGCCGCCTCGCCAATGGAGGTACGGAACATGGCCCATTCAGACTCAATGTCCCCCACCTACCCCAGAACGTGTTCGAAGTTCTGCCAGAGATGGGAGTTGAAGCTCCGTCTCACAGGGGACTCCGCCAGACGTTYCCAGCAGACCCTCACTACACGTTTGGGCCTGCCAGGTCTGACCGGCTTCCTCCCCCACCACCGGAGCCAACTCACCACCAGGTAGTGGTCAGTKGACAGCTCCGCACCTCTCTTCACCCGAGTGTCCAAGACATACAGCCGCAGATCCGATGAAACGACGACAAAATCGATCATCGAACTGCGGCCTAGGGTGTCCTGGTGCCAAGTGCACATATGGACACCCTTATGCCTGAACATGGTGTTCGTGATGGACAATCCGTGACGAGCACAGAAGTCCAACAACAGAACGCCACTCGAGTTCAGATCAGGGGAGCCGTTCCTCCCAACCACGCCCCTCCAGGTCTCACTGTCATTGCCCACGTGAGCGTTGAAGTCCCCCAGCAGAACAAGGGAGTCCCAAGGAGGGGCACCCTCCGGTACCCCCCTCTAAGGACTCCAAGAAGGGTGGGTAATCTGAACTGTTGTTCGGCCCRTAAGCACAGACAACAGTCAGAACTCGTCCCCCCACCCTTAGGCAGAGGAAGGCTACCCTCTCGTTCACCGGGGTAAACCCCAACGTACAGGCGCCAAGATGGGGGGCAACAAGTATGCCCACTCCTGCCCGGCGCCTCTCACCGCAGGCAACTCYAGAGTGGAAGTACGTCCAGCCCCTCTCAAGGAGACTGGTTCCAGAACCAGAGCTATGCGTTGAGGTGAGGCCGACTATTTCTAGCCGAAACCCCTCAGCCTCGCACACTAGCTCCGGTTCCTTCCCCACCAGAGAGGTGACGTTCCACGTCCCAAGAGCCAGCTTCTGCAGCCGAGGATCAGACCTCCAGGGTCCCCTCCTTCGGCCGCTGCCCATTACACACTGCACCCGACCCCTTTGGCCCCTCCTAAAGGTGGTGAGCCCGTTGGAAGGGGGACCCACATCTCCTCTTCGGGCTGAGCCCGGCCGGGCTCCGTGGGTGAAAGCCCGGCCACCAGGTGCTTGCCATCGTGCCCCACCTCCAGGCCTGGCTCCAGAGGGGGGCCCCGGTGACCCGTGTCCGGGCGAGGGAACGCCAGATCCAAATCTTTTGAGCATCATAAGGGGTCTTCGGGCTGCGCTTTGTCTGGTTCCTCACCTAGGACCTGTCTGCCTTGGVWGACYHWACCAGGGGCATAAAGCCCCAGACAGCATAGCTCCTAGGATTATTGGGACACTCAAAACCCTCCAGCACGATAAGGTGGCAGCCCAAGGAGAGGAGTATGATAAGTACAAGTACCTTACCATAAAATTTTATTGGTAAAAGTAAAGTTCCTTGAAAAGTAATGAGTAAAAGTCAAAGTGTCTGACATTTACTGTACACAAGTGTCAAAGTAAATTTCTGATATGAAATATACTAGTCTACCTATTTCAGTTGCAGATATATCTCTGCCAAGATCATCTTCATATCAAGCTACGTACGTCTTATGTCCTGCTGGTGTTTGACATGATCTGTGTTCTGATCAGACAAACCAAAAGGCTGTCAGAATGGTATATACTGTATTTATAATTCTCATCCAAACACAGTTAAAGCCACTCAGTCTGGGAGGCGCCATATAAAGTCACAATGAAAACGAACCAAAATGAAATAGAAGTAACATTTTATTTTAAATGTAAGGAGTAGAAAGTACAGATAATTATGTAAAAATTCAGTTGAAAATAACTAGAATAAATAAGCAAAATTTCTTTTTAAGTAAAGGAACAAAATATTTTTACTTTACGTTACACCTCTTATGGAAATTCAGAGTTTGAGTTAATTTTAACTAAAACAATATACCTTTCATAGTGAAAATCTTTAGTAATTTGGAAGTTTTCCTGTGTGAGAAAAAGCTAACTTTATTACCCAATGCAAAAAGTGAAGGGGCAACAATGTTTGCTTTATATTTCTGTGTGTGTGCATGTGCTAATTTCTCTGCCTATTAGCAAATTATTCCATGAACAGAATTTTATGAAACCTACAAGAAGTATTTATAATCATCTATAGCTAAAATTCAAAATGGCTGCCACAGCTAATTGACATTATATCCAACACAATTAAAAGCTAAAATTTAGTCAAATGTATGGATATTGCGCTAATGTTTGATATACAATATCCAAGAGTCATCCTCATATCTCACACAAATTCATAATGCCACATGTGATCTTGCACAATATTTTTTGTAACATATTTAATCATAATTAATTAATTATTAATGATCTTAGCTTGAAATTCTGATACAAAAAGTGATGTTAGATATTCCTTCAAGGAATACTAAGTTTTTATTTGTTACTGCAAATTAGATATTTTTTAAAGCACCAGTAATTTTCACACATTTATATATGATTTTTTGGTGTTTTTTGACAGAATCTTTTGAATTTCAAAAAAAAAAAAAAATGCCTGAAGAAAATAATTGGAAAAAGAAAAAATAAAATAAAATAAAATAAAATCATCTCATTATTAATAGAGAACAAAAGTTATTAGCTGCAGCCTCAGTCAGATGTATTGGTCATATTTTATTTCATGAAATTCCCTTCATTTTTCTTTCCACTGTTTCTAGCTGACGTTGCTGCCTGCTGAAATCCTGGAACAAAGTCACAGCACAGCTTCATGTTCTGTGCAAAAAAAAGGGATAATTCTGACTAAACACGGCCGCTAGAGGCTGCACAAGCAAAGACACATATTTCTAAATCAATACTGAGAGAGGGGAAAGCCAGCGGAATCAATTGAGGAACAACAAAAAGAAGATGGTGAGATAGCCTGCAGTTCGGTTCAGCACAAAGAAAAAAATGACAGAGTGAGGGGGATAGCAGGAGCAAGCATCCAAGTGATTGGCAGCAGAGCGCGCGAGCATCTCATTCTGAGGGCGGGAGGGAGAGGAGAGAAAGTGGAGCGCTATGCTGCCCATCCTCATATTTCCCTCTGCAGCTGTGTGAGACAGTGGGAGTGCTGGAGGAGCGAGAGCACATTCGAGTCTGGTGGAAGCAGCGGGAACACGATCCACTTGGCCGAGAGATCCATGCACTTACGTGGAGCCACGCGAGAAGGCTGAAAAGTCTGCGCACCACCTCAGAGAAAATTCCAAAGAACAAGAGGGAGGAAGACTGCCCTCGTCCAATCAAAAAGCTTCTGTATTCTCAGAGCAGGTGAGTTAACTTGTGCTTGTGTGGAGCAGAGTCTGATGTTCGCCACATGTGTCCTGGTGGTGACAGTGGCGCGTGCGCCAATCTCACATCTGCACCCGTAGGCGGGCGGCACATTTATGCACCTATAAGTTTGGATCTGCTTTGCACCCTGCATTTGCCCCAGCTTTTAATTTGTGCATCACTTGCCAGACGCCGTGCATTGTTGTCACCCAGCCAGGTGATTAACTGGAGAACCTCAGCATCAATCACGCTGTTATCACGCTGCGCTGAGAAGATCACAACAATAGTTGCTTAACGACCCTCTCTTGTTGGTTTGTGTGTGATTATGTTGTGCGCCTGTGTGCTTGAAGTGCGCTGTCGAAGCTTATTTTTATTTATGTCTTCTTTTCTTTTAAATGGTTTTGTCAAAACAGGTAAAAAGTGCCTGAACACATGCCACTTGAACAATTTAATAACAGTCATTAGGAAAGCGTGCTTTGAGGAAAGTGATTGCAGTTTTTCATGCCAGTTTGTCACTTTCTTTTGTTCCTTTAAAATATGTTTGTTGTTTTTTGGCTGTTCATTTGATGGACAGTTTATTGTGTAGGTGCAAAATGAGTTCGAAATTTCTGCTGATTGGTAATAACTTCAAGAAAATTTACACAATAGAACCCATTTATCAAAAACATATCTACCGTGACAAGAAGGAAAAGTATTTTTAGCCTATAATAAACAGAAAAAACATGCATATTTAAATAGTCATTTAAAAGTTGAGAACAGCAATACTATTTTTGTAAAAGCAGTTAAGAGTTGCCCTCTTTTAATGAATCAGTTTAAACATGAAGAAATGTTAATTCTGTTAATCCAACCATCTGTCAAATGTCTCTTGTGCTGTGCTATTTTTTTTCTGACAGCGAGTATATAAACTGTACTATTGTTTCAAGAAAGTAATTAACTGTCTTCCCTGCTCCCATAATTTAATGTGTTTCAGCTACGCTGACTCTGTGACATTTAGAGAGTTGGTTTATATATACATAGTGTGGAATTGGGGGCTGGAAATACCACGCTCTGCTCAATGTATCCCACCATCCATCTGTGTGTGTCTTCATCCCTCTTTCAGTCTCTGTTCCTCTCGCTTTTCCTCACCCTCCCCGAACCCTCCACCCTGTGTTATGCTGTGAAGGTTATTGCCATATATTGAGTTGGTTTAATTTGTCAAAGTCCGACAGACATATTGTCTGTGGCCAGAACGGGAGAACAGGTTTGGGGGAGATTCAATGCAGCTAGATAAAAGCACAATATTGAAAGTGGAAGGGGGAGATGAATGCCGTGTTGGACCGGAGCAGAGAAGGACAGGATGGGAACAGAGGCAGAGAGAAAAACTATTATTTCATGTAAACACGGAAGCTAAAAGTTTGATTTCTAAGCATTGTTTTAATGACTCTGAGCTGGTCGTGGTTATCCGTTTCTGGATTCATCATTTCTCACACAAAGCTTCGCTCCCCCTGCTTCTCCCATGTGGTACCAGTACCATTAAGCTGAGACACCAGAATGTGAGAGATCACTCTGCTTCTTCCCTTGGTTTCTTTTCTTTTCTTTTCTTTCTTTTTTTCATGTTTGCACTGGACTTTTTTCTGCCCTCTCTTTACCTTTCACTTGTTCTTCATCTGTTCATTATTTACTTTGTCATGCATTGAGACACTTAAGGAGGATTCATTTGTATAAATTAGAATTCCTATTAGGAATTTTGAAAATAGGTGTTTACATGCTGTAACACCTTACAGGCCACAGAACAGGATTTTATTGAATTTCTATTGCTGGAGCTCTAATTAAAAACAGATTATAACACATTGGTGTAGCATGAAACTTTCTTCCAGCTTCATTTGAGCAATATACTGGTGACATTTTACTAAGTAGAACAAATGCAAAACCATACAAATGTTTGCATGTTCATCACTCCCACACTCTAGTTTGCATTTGCTGAGGGTCTGTTTGGATTAGAGGCTGTGTTTAGTCGTTAAATTGCAAATGGCTTCTATAAATTGCCGAAGGAGCAGGTGGTATTTGTTAAAAATTCCTCTCACTCCCTCCTTGTCAGGGCTATCTTCGCCATTTTTCTTCCTCTGTTCCCAGCTCATTCACATTTATCAGGGTGCCAGTGGGCAGCCGAACAAGACTGCAATTGTCTGCGTTGTAATTAATAATTTACATAATACTTTATTTTGAAGGGAATTCTATTCCCCCCTCCCCCCTCCCTGCACTGATGTTAATTGTAATTGCTGGGCTACCGTCATTACTTATGATTAGAAAGACAATAAAATGTGGACATAACCGGCTCTTACTGTCGACTGCTCCGCTTATCAGATAATGTGAAGATTTAAAGACAGGAGTTGAGAAAAAACAGTCACAGATATGTAACTATTTCTCAATTGTATATTATCACCATATAACTCAAATACATTTTTTGTGTTTATTCACCGAAGGGATTAGTCCCGCAGAAACAGAAACCTGGAACAGGTTATTTTAACACACAAGCATTTCTCACAGTATTTTAAATTTATCAGCCTTTTTTGTGCTTCCTGCTTCTGAGAATCACATAGCCTCCTTCACTATCACGCCTGCCTGTGTGATGAATCCTGATCAGACGGCTTTGATATACGTTGTCAAGGTGAGAGAACAAGAAAACAGGCGTTTGTCTGAACAAATGTGAACTTTTACTTTTCAGTCCTTATGATTTATTTTCTTGTTTATTTGTTCTTTGCTGCTTGTCTGCTCCCCTACACTAACCATTATGAGATTAGTCTCTTTTTTATTTCTGACTCACTGATAATCCGACTCATACAAGATGTGTATGTGGATGTCTAACAGATTTCCACGCCATATTATGGTGCACATCACCATATCATTGCCGTATTTGTCGGTGTTTTCTGACGTAATTTAATCATCTTTGCCCAAGATTCTTATGCATGTTATCAGTCTGGTAATTGGTTGATATGAGTAGGATTTTACCTGTGAAATTGCTGCATTTTGAGCTAGTGGTGTGCTAATGGAATAAAAATATGTACTCTGAGGCTGGTTTGACACCTAAAATATCTTAAAAGGGACATATGCAAAATCCTAGCCTGGCCCTTGCCTTCCTACACAGTAGGGTTGGGCAATATTGGCACAAAAAAACACACGATTAATTGTGGTATTTAGCATTAATGATTCATTTGACGATTAATCCCCTGGAGTCCCGGGACATCCTTATGTCCTAGTCACATGACCAATTTAGTGGGAAAGACTTGCTCTTTGTAAAAATCTGTTCCAAATTGTGTCAAAATTACAGACTTTAGGCTATACATCAAATTTTTAAATTGTGTTGGTAGATAAATAAATTACACAACTTTTTTAAATGTTTGTCATATTCGAAACAGAGAGGAGCACCAAGCGGACTGACTGGAGAAATCTTCAGTCAGTTTGCCTGCTGACATTAATCGTATTAATCGTCAAGTGCCAAAAAATAATCGATTAGTGTTTTTCTGGCGATTAATTGCACACAATACAATTATGCCCAACCCTACAATGCAGTTCCGCTGAATTCTAGTTTCTCTTCACTGCTCCGTCTGGGATTTCTCCCATAGACAAGGATTTCTTCAGGAGAATTTTCGTCCAGGCCAATCAGAGAACAGAACATCGATTTTCTGCACAGTGTCTGCTTGTAGTTTATTTTATCTGGGCCAATCAGCAAACAGAAGGTGGAGTTTTGAATTACGTTGATTTTCTGCGCAGTGTCTGCTAGTTAGTTTAGCACACGGCAGTGGAGTAAGTGAATGAAGCCAGGCCGTGTTGATAAAGCTTCCAAATTAAATTAAATCTGTCTGACAAAGCAGCAGCTCTCATTTACAATCATCTTGTTCAGCTCGGTACTTTTTTCCTCTCAGTAGGGTTATTTACAGCGCACGTGATTTCCAGTTAGCGTCTTAGCTTAGCCTCCTTCACAGCGACATACGTCGCGGCCAACCGATCCAATCATTTTAAACTTCAGCAGAGGCCACGCCTCCAGCAAGAATCACTTCTCTGTAGCCGCGAGTCCAGACCCTCGTATGAAGCAAAGTGAAGGACAAGGGTCTGGTTTTTACCAGGCTAGCAAAATCCACTTTTTTAGCCATTAAATACATCTTGTTGTGTGCGTGGAGTCTTTAGGCATGCTAACAATTTGAATGGTTTTTCCCAGTGCTGCATAGATGCAGTATCCTTATATTCTTTTTAGGTCATATTTTTCAACCTGTTCATTTTTTTCTATTTTATATGAAATTTTCTGAACTATTTATAGTTTTTGCAACAAAACGGCCAAATAAGGTCTTCATTCTCTTTATGCTCCGGGTCAGATCCTGGCTCCAACATGTAAGGCTGGATGGACGAGTCTTCCAGTGTTGACATATTTTAATTAATCTGTAAATAAAAAGTTTGTGGGGTCTGAAGCGCTTTGTTTGGATTTAAAGACACAGCTTTGAAACGAGTTGCTCTGAGACACACCTCAGAAAAGGTATGAAAGAGGGGCTTGTAGAGTTACAATAAGAAGGACCAAAGTATTGCAGTTCCACTTTATATAGACCTCAACTGAAAGATTTGAATAAAAAAAGAAGGATTTAAAAGCATGATATGTCCACACAAGAGATGAATAAAGGTTGAGATCAACGCCTCTTTCTGTGTTTCATAATAACTACTCATTTGAATGTTCAGTGCACAACTTTGTTTGACAATTGTGCTTTTTCAGATGATGAAAATAAAAATGCTGATGACAGGATAGGTGAATTGTGTGCCCTATGGATCAGAGACTTAGGTCGTGTTCACACCTGCACTGTTTAGTCCGATTTAATCAAACTCTAGTTCATTTGCCAGGAAAGTCCGGTTTGTTTGGGGAGGTGTGAACACATAATCGAACTCTGATTCGGACCAAAAAAGTGAACTCTGGTCCACCTGAAAACCTAGGTCTCGGTTCGATTGAAACGAACTCTGGTGTGGTTCAATTGCATGTG